CCGAGTGATAAATTTTGGCTCTGCTCAGCCAGTCCACCTGCTCATTGCACACCCCCGAGATACGTTCTGCCCTGAGGGACAGAAGGTGTCCCTCCACCCATAGGCCCAAATGTTCAGCCTCCTACATGAGGGACCTGGAATGGGTCTCCCCCTAGCAATTGATGTGGGCCTTGACAGCCACATTGTCTGTCAATATGAGGACATGTCTTCCTGCCATACTGTTCCAAAACTGCTTGAGGGCCTGGTAAACGGCCCCCAGCTCCAGCCAATTGATGTTCTGGCCCTTGTCCTCCTGGGTCCACTGACCCTGCGCCATTGCTGACTGAAGATGGGCTCCCCAACCAAAGAGGCTGGCATCGGTCATTAGGGTCAAGTGACTTTCTCCTTGAACAGGCACCCTCTGCCGGTGGCCTGGGACAGCCACCAGCATAAGGACCCAATCACTATTTGTGGTACCCTGACCTTGAGCAAGGAGTGCCTCCTGCTGGACCTCTAGTATGGCAAGAGGAACCATTGCAGTGACCTGGATACAATTGTGCCCATGTGATGATGGAGATATAGGACACCATCTTGCCCAGGAGCCACGATAGGGGGGGCCAAAGGTACTACCTGCTCTTTCTGGATCTGCCTTGCCAAGGCCTGTAAGCTTGCCTGGAGGTCCAGGGAGAGGAAGACCTCGCACAGGATTGTGTTTATTACTGCTCCCAGGTGAGCAAGCAGTTAGTCAGAGAAAAATGATTCTTCTTGGTGTTGATGGAAAACCCATGGGCCTGCAGAACCTGAATGGTAATCTGAAGGTAATTCCTTGGTGCCAAGTTCCAAGGACGACTGGATTAAAATGTCATCTAGGTAACATTGGACCTGCAGTGGTAAGACATGGAGGTACATTGCCAAAGCTGCTAACAGCTTGGTGAATACCCTTGGCAATGGATGATAGGCCGAATGGCAGAGCCCGATATTGGAAATGCTGGCCCTTGTAATAAAAACAGAGGAACCAGCAGTGGGATAGCCAGATAGGGATGTGGAGGAAAGCCTCTGTCAAGTCGGTGGATGTGAGGAAGTTGCCCTCTTGAATGCTCTGCAGGATGGATTGCAGTTACTGCATCTTGGATTGTCTGTGGAAATCTCTTGAGGTCTAGAATTGCCCTCCACCCTCCATCCCCCAAGGCCTTTGCTATCACAAAGAGTTGGGAATAGAATCCCTTCCCCTGTTGTTCCACCAGAACCACCTGTATAGCTCAAATTTCCCATAGATGTTGAATGGTGGTTTCCATGAGGACCCTCTTTGTGTAAGCCTGAGAGATTGGACAGGGAATGAAGAACCTCAGGGGTGTGGAGAGGAATTCAAGGGAGAGACCCGACCTCACTGTCGGTAGAACCCAGGCGTCTGTAGTAATCTCCTCATATGAATTGGCAAAATTTGCCAGATGTCCTCCAATAGGAGGGATGGGTCTGCAGTCACTTTGAGTGCTGAAATGGACAAGTTCCCCCACCTCAAAAGGGCCACTTGCTTTGAAACTGTTGTCTATTCTTACCCGAACAATCCAGCTGCTGATCCTTGCCCGCGCCCAGTAGGGCCTTTGAGTGCATTGGAAACTCAAACTGGATTCATCCACTTGAAAAGGTGAGGAACGAAAGTCGGTACGTCTGGAGAGGGAAGGGAGGATCTTCCTCTTAACCCTGGATTCCACTAGGAAGAGAGTTGGAAAGGGACAGACGCCAGGTTCCACTTTCTTCTGGGGTCCTCCTGCCAATGGTGGAGCCATAGATGGTGGGCAGCTGAGGATGCCATTGCCTTAGAGGAGAACCTGGCCGCATTAAGTGGAACCTGGCATCTGTGGAAAATTCAGTCACAACCACCAGTTTGTTAATGTCTTGATGGATATGTACATCCCCAGGGGGCACCCTCTCCTGCAAGTGGTGTAACCATCGCAGAGAAACCCTAGTAAAGAAAGAGGCAGCTGTGGAAGCTTTGACTGCCCAGGCTTCTGCCGGATGAGACTGTTGGAGAATTTGCTCAGCCTTCTTGTCCTCTTTCTTGAATGTCTCCTCTGGTTCAGTTGGTATAGCAGAGGAGGAAACCAATGTGACCACGGATCATCCACTGTAGAGGTTTGGAGGCCCTTGTCCATCTCTGAGTTCATGCTATAAAATCTTCGATCATTGGTACTAAGAACAGGGCCTGATCCTGGCGAGGTCCACTGCCTGCATCTAAAAATAATTTGGGCAAAGGGATCACTTCTGACTGCATAATTGGCTTAGAGAACAACATGTCACATTGAGCCAGTATCTCCATGGCTGGATCTGCACTGGGTTTGGGTCCCAAGTGGATTGCGTTTTTGGCCTTGAATAACAAGGACTTAAATAGGGAGGACGAAAGAACCCTGTGAGTGCTGACTGGCCCAGCTTAAGATCCTCGTCCTCAGAGAGGTCTTGCTCTCTCTGTTCACACTCTCCAGAAAACGATGACATGCTGTGACTGGAGTGGCTCAGGGAATAGGGCTCTTGGAAGTCCTGGAATCATGGTCTTGTGCCGGCCCTGGGACCCTGGGGTAATTAGAATAGACTAAGGAGGGCTATCTGAACTGCTGAAGGCCTTTGGATATCCCTTGTTTAATGACATTGGATATCAGATCCCTCATGGCAAGGGGTATATCAGCCTCAGCTGATTCCCCTGGGTGTAGGCCCACAGCAGTGGGAGTATATGTTGTCTCAGCAGTAGCCCTCTGGCTGTATAGGGGCTGCTCCTAATCGCCTGTTACAGGTAACACAGTTGCCAGGGAACTGGAGTAGGTTTTGCGGTTGTCTTGTGAAGCCAAGAAACCCTCCTCTCCAGCACCATCTGGTGACAAGGTCTGGGAGCTGGGTCCAGCTACTTGGCTTGCTTCCAACTGCTGTGCAACATTCTGGTGGGAAAAACCGCTTCCATAGAGTGGGATGATGTTTGGCTCTGCCTTTCTGTCCTTTTGTGATAAGCTTCTCTAAGGCCTTATGCCTTCTTTTAGAGTCCTTTTCTTCAGCCCTGGAAGTCTTCCTAGAAGCTACAGCTTTTGCTTTTAACTTTGCAGCTGCACCTCTAGTTGCCAATTTGGGAGCTGAAGAAATCCCGATAGGGCTTTTGGCATCCCCTGGAGTATCCACTGGGCCCACTTGGCTGTGGCTGCACCCAGCCCGATCCTCCTCCATGTTATTGAGGCTAAGCAGTACACAATGCCCCTTGTTTAAGATTCCTCTCCATGAGCAGACATAACAGGCCCTGCTAACTGCTAACAGGCCGACTAACTGTCCCAGTATTTCAGGCAATCTGGCTGCCATGCGTTGCCTGCGCTTTTCTGCGCCACTCTGGCTAGCCCTTCAAGTCCTGGGATGATTACTGATAGAAGCTACGCTCGCCCTCTCTGTCGCCCCCATTCACTGCTGGAGATCCTGCAGCCTGGCTCCAGCACTGTGAGCAAGGCTCTCCACTGTCTTTGCATTGGCTTCACAGCCCTTGGCGGCCCGAGGCAAAGCTCTAACCTCCACAGCCTTTGGCAGACTGGAGCCAAAGCTCTTCATGCCAGAATGTCAATTGGATGAGATGCCGCCACTGCAGCCTTTGGTAGCTTGAGTCAAGGCTCCCACACTGGAATAGTTGGTTGTGCTGTGTCAAAGCCTCGACCTTCAATGCCTGGAGCCAAAGCCCACTGTGTTGGAAATGACAGGCAGAATGAGGCCAAAGCCCATCATGCCAGCTTCAGCGGCAGCTCTACCTTACTGCCTGGGAGCCTGCCTGCTGAGAATTGATGAAATCCAATGTGCTGTTGACCATTAGCTTTCAAATTTGAAGAGAAATGGGAGACACATCTTGTCCAAGTGAGGGACTGAGTCGAAAGCTAGGGAAGGCTAGCAACAAAGGTGGGTCTACACAGCTTTGACAGACTCAGTCCTATCAGCTTGGAGAAGGAGTTAACCCTTGCCTGGACTCTCGCAGCAGTACTGTGGAGAAAGACCTTGTTCTCATGCAGTCTCTGATGTGTTGGAAAATCATGCAAGCATTCTGACATGATTTTCAGAAGGTCCTGTGGTGCACAAGAGCAGGGCCCTCTAGGCCCTCTAACATGACTTCTAGAGGGTCCAGAGAGGAAAGTCCAAAGAAGAAAAGAGTCCAGAAGAGCTGCAGAAAGGCTACTTTTGTCTGGTTGGTGTGTTGTGTGCATGAGAGAGGGGGTAGGGAGAGGGAGAGGGAGAGGGAGAGAGAGGAAGATGGAGGGAGGGAGGGAGGGAGGGAGGGAGGGAGAGAGAGAGAGAGAGAGAGAGAGAGAGAGAGAGAGAGAGAGAGAGAGAGAGAGAGAGAGAGAGAAGTGCTTCAATATTGTAACAATTTCACAGACTGGAAAAGCTACCTAAATGGCAACAACATTTCTTCTTTCATGATAATAAACTAGGTTTGGTTCACATATACAATATATCACCTGATTATATGGCAACATTTGGTATTTCTCATTGGAGTAAATTGGATGAGCTGTTGAAACACACTGGCCTGGAAGAATAGAAGATTGAATAGAACATTGATTATACAGTGGGTTTTTTCCAGATCCTTTTTCTCCATCTATTAGTAAGATTCTGGAACCACATAGAAGAAATCAAGAGGGCCAAGATAAGGAAAGCATTTTGGACATATACAAGTAGGAATGGTTTCCTATTCATGTAAAACAGTTTTAGATTGTAGCCACTGTGCTAACATTGACATAAGTAGCAATTTACAAAGAAACATCAGTAATAACTTATAAAGCTATTTAGGCTGCAGTGCAATGGATTTGAACTTGTTCATGATTCAAGTGAATAGTTTCCTCCCTTCTTCACATTTCTGATTGTTGCCCATGAGCATTTTAATGTCATAAATTAGCAATGCATTAGATCATACTTTCATCTTGAAATGTAAGTCTGTGGACATGCATATATCACTATACATGTTACTATCCACTAATACTATACAAAAAAGAGGCTGCACATTATCTTACCATCATCTGTCGAATATGAAACATATCATCTCCATTAGTTGAGAGACGATTGGGAATTGAAATGTCAACGAAAGATCCTGGAAGGGTACTTGGCCCAGCATTATAGACCTTCAAAAAGATAGGAACAAATGAGATATGTACATGCTTCAAAAATGCATGACAAGACAGCTATCTTTGTGGTTAGCCCATATCTTTACCAGACCCTTAATGGCTGACAACAGGAAAATGAATCCCCCCCCCCAATGTTATGGAACCCATGTTAAGGATAAAGGGAGCATATTCTATAGCAAACTATTAATCTGAATGTAAAGCTTCAGAACATACATTTGGTGAATCTCATTTGAGAGCACTCAGACTAATGGTTATCCCAAAAAAATAGGGCAGTTAGATATGTGTGCGTATTTGAATAAGTGATATACATGGATGGATAGACAGACAGATAGACAGAAGATAGAGTGATATATGGCGTGTTCTTGGCATGTTCGGGTCTTTTCCCATGTAAGATTGAGAGTATGTTTGGTGACTTTTCGACGAGGTCTCACTTGCCACCTTCACGCTGGTGCTTTCGGCTTCGTGCTTTTGCGAGCTAAGTGTGATCGGAGCTGCCATCTCCCTATATATACTGGTGGGGAGGTTGGCTGTGTTGTCAGGTCTTGATTGGTTGATGGAGTTGATGTTTGCAGATTGGCTGGCTTTTTTGTAAGAACTCTTTAACACATTCTTTGGCTCAGTATTTGTAAACAGCAATGGATCATGCCTAGTATTTCCTAGTTGAACCACAGACAACTACAATGATCTAATACATATCACTTTTACAGAAGACATTATTGAAAAAGCACTGCACAATCTAAAACCATCCCTATCTATTGGAACGGATGGAATATGTGCCTACTTCTTAAAAAAGCTATCCATTGCCATAGCCAAACCTCTAAGCATAATCTTTGAAAAATCTTTCAGGACCAGCTCCTTGCCAAAACTATGGTCTCATCCCCATCTTCAAAAAGGGAGACCCCAGCCTAGTTGAAAATTACAGACCAATCTCTTTATACTACATCACCTGTAAAGTCATGGGATCAATTATTAACCAATCCATCATCCTCCACTTAGAAACAAATAACCTACTCTCTAATAAACAATTTGGTTTCAGGAAAAAACTATCCTGTAATCTACAACTCTTACACTGCAAAAACATATGGACTACACAACTCGATCAGGGCAAAGCAATAGATGAAATCTACATAGACTTCTGTAAAGCCTTTGATTCAGTGGTACATGACAAACTACTCCTAAAACTAAAATCTTACGGTATCTCTGGACACCTGCATAACTGGATAGAAGCATTCCTGTCAAACAGACAACAAATGGTCAAAATTGGGAGCGTCCTATCAAATTCTGTACCTGTCAATAGTGGTATCCCCCAAGGCAGTGTTCTAGGACCAACTCTCTTCATACTCTACATAAATGACTTCTGTGATCATATTAAGAGCAACTGCATTCTCTTCGCTGATTATGTAAAGCTGTTCAATACCACAGACAATACTGCTACCCTTCAAAAAGATCTTGACTATGTATCAGAATGGTCAAACAAATGGCAACTTCAAATCTCAACAAATAAATGCTCTGTCTTACATATTGGCAAAAAAAAATCAGAAAATAAAATACAGGCTGAATAGTCAAGACCTTGTTGATGATCCAAACTCTGTCAAAGATCTTAGAGTACTCATCTCTAATGACCTAAGTGCTAGAGCCCACTGTAACTACATAGCCAAAAAAGGCGTTAAGAGTTGTTAACCTAATCTAAGTAGCTTTTTCTCTGGTAATATTACACTAATAACTAGAGCATACAAAACATTTGCTAGACCAATATTTGAATACAGCTCATCAGTCTGGAATCCACATTACGTATCTGATATTAACACAGTTGAGAAAGTCCAGAAATATTTCACAAGAAGAGTTCTCCACTCCTCTACTCGTTGCAAAATACCTTATGCCACCAAACTCGAAATTCTAGACCTAGAAAACCTAGAACTACGCCGCCTTCGATCTGAGTATACTAAGTATAGTATATAAAATCATACATTGCAATGTCCTACCTGTCAATGAATACTTCAGCTTCAACCATAACAATACTAGAGCAAACAATAGATACAAACTCAAGGATAATCACACCAAACTTGATTGCAGGAAATACAACTTCAGCAACAGAGAGGTCAATGTCTGGAATACTCTACCTGACTCTGTGTTTTTTTCTCCAAACCCCAAAAACTTTAACCTTAGACTGTCTAATATTGACCTCACCCCTTTCCTAAGAGGTCTGTAGGGGGCATGCATAAGCGCACCAATGTGCTTACCGTCCCTGTCCTATTGTTTCTTTTATATATTTTTTTATTTTTCTTATACATAACTATGTTTTTACTTATACCTATTATTTTGTAAGCAATTGACAAATAAAAATAAATAAATAAAATGAAGCATGTGTGGGTGAGGTATTGGCTGTGTGTCTATCCGTCTCCTGTGTTGTAACGACCTGGGTAATTGGCTGTGTGATGACCTTCTGAGGTCTATTGTTTTGACATCCTGGGTCTTGTGCTGTAATCTCCTGGGTCGTTGGCTGTGTTGTGACATTCTTAAGTTTTGTAGTGTAACCTCCTGAGTTCCATGATGTGATATAAGCAGGTGGCTGTGATGTGACGTTCCAGGTTTTGGTTTGGCTCCGAGTTTGAGGCCTGGCTATGTGTTCATGGTGTGTGCCAGTTTGCTTGGTTTGGGGGTCGTGGTGTGTGGCAGCTGGTGATGCAGCTGTGGTCTGGTTTCTGGATGGTGGTTGCCTTTCATATTCATTTTCTTTTTATCATCATTTCGGGGATACACAGTCAGCTAAATGTTTAGATTGGATTTGATATTTTTATCTAATTGTCCAATCCTTCCCAAGGATCTCAATAAGTTGTTGTTTAATGGTACGCAGGATGGAAGCTCTTCCAATTAATTGCCTTTTGCAATTGTTGATGAGGATTTTGTCAATGCCAATGGTATTCAAGTGGTGCTCCAGATGTTTTGGGATTGCACCCAAGGTATCTTCCACTATTGACATTCTCTTTTGCTACAGCCATTGTAGTTCTATTTGCAGATCGTTATATTTTGTGATTCCTTCTCTTTTATTCTACTGTCTTCAAATACTTCCATTTATTACCCAAACTTTTTGTTTTTCTTATTAACTGCTGTTAATAAGTGCTTATCTGTTTGAATTCAGAATCTTCTAGCTTCTTTGTTTTCTATTACTTTGTCCATTTTGTGGGCCCACCTTTTCTTGCTTGAAAGCAAATGATATTGTAAATATTCCAATGCACCATTGTTGCTACTTTGCAATGCCATATTTGTGATCAGTCTGTGTGATTTTCTTGCAGAACCTACGTAGGTGGTCCACTGCTTCTTCACCTACTTTGTGGAGACAGCATTTGTTAATGTTGCTATCTTCTAAATTCTGGCTTTAAATGCATTTGTTCTTAAGATTTGGTCTTGTGCAGATAGAAATAGCCCCTCTGTCTCTTTCTTCAGTTTCTTTCTCTTTCTTCAGTTTTTTTTTAAATTCATGTTTTATTTACAGTTTTCCTTTCACACTATACATATTTTGTGGACAGTGCATTGACTGGGTCAATGACCTTTTTAAACAATACTAACAATGATAATAGATAACACAAATAAGTACATATAATCCTAATCTTCCAACTCCAACTTCTTTATAGTTCTTTCTCATTTTTTTCCATTAATTCATTTAAACATAAATAACATTTCTTTTCACCATGTATTTATTATCTCCTATTAAGTCACTTATATTTAGTATTTTAAAAATTACTCATTATTCCACCATACTTTCAATATCCCAAATATCTAGAAGTATTAATCAGACCAAATATTACAAGATGCAGTCAATCCCAGGATAATATCTCAGAATCCCCACAATTTCTAATCCTTAAAAGTTTTAAATTCACAATATATTTTAACACACTGTTAATATTAATAATACAATTAAATTACCTAATCCTAAACTTCTACCTTCTACCCTTAGCTTACTTTTAAATATAATAAATTCTATTATCTATTAGTATATATGCTACTATTTTCCCTATTTATATTTTCTACTTTTCTACTTCACCAATATATTTTATTACTATCCATCTCTTAATCATTTTGGGGTTAGATCACCTATTAACTTTTTAATCACCTTTTTCTTTCTCTATATTGCAATCTTATAACTTTTTGTAATGTTTTTATACCCAATAAGTATTCCTTTTGGGTTGCCCTTTATCACTTTATGCTGCATCCTTTGAACATCCATCCATAAGTTTTCCTTTTCTAAAAAAGATATTTTTGTTTTTTTCTCTAAACTTTTCTCTTTTTTAAAGAGATTTTTCTTTTTTCTTTTCTCTGTCCTATTATAAATTTTTAAGGAGTTATCTATTTGATTCATATTGTGGGAAGAAAAAAATAGGCTATTGATCTATCAGAGTCAACAAGGCCTTTGGATGATAGCAGACTCCAGAATAAAAGAGACATGAACCAGTTTTAGACAGGATGATTTCAAAATGTACCTGAACTATTTGTAATCCTGCTGAGCTGTTGTTGTGAAATGTGATTTTGCAAAGTACGTGGTTCTGAAAACCATGAGAAATAGGGGACAGAAAGTAGCCGGTGGATAGAGGTTTGAGATGTACATGGGTATATATGGAGACTGTCTGTCACAGTAAGAAAGAACAGAGAAGTAAGTTGTGAAATACATGCAGAAAAGTATAAAAAGGATGTTTTCGGAAGTGTTCAGGGCCATTGGTCATGGCCACTCCTTGCCGGACTCAGACCTCATTGCAATGAGTTATTGATGTAAGTTGTGTTATGATGACTGTTCATGTTCCAAACTGCTCATGAAATAAACCTCTGATCTCAAAGTAGGATTTATTGCTTGTGGTTTGTCTGTGTTCCTCTTTCACTGAATTATTTTTATGACACAACTTATTAATCCTTTCTCTTCATTAGCTTTATCTTTTTTCATCTCATTTTGATTTTTCTCTTCCACTGCTTCTTCTACTTTCTCATCTATTTTCTGAATATCTCTCCTCCCCCCCCCACCCAGTTATTGAGAGGCTTCTACACACATTTCTTTATCTTTAGACAATTCCCTTGTCTCTTTATTTTTCTTTATTGTTTCATGTATGTTTTTAAGCATCAAAATTATTTCTTCATATCTCTTATTATCCCCTGGTAAACCAGTTTATTACAATTCAATAAAAATTACTCAATATACTTCTATAGTTCCAACTTCTCAATATTTAAACACTCCCACAGAGCCAGTTATTAGTAAAATTTAACCAATCTCATCGTTATATCTCCAAATCTCCTAAGTGTAGAATTTTAAAAATCCTTTAGTATTTTACAGTCTTTTGATTTTTCAATTATTTGTCTTCCTAATTGTCCAAATTTTCAAGTCTTACTTAATTTTCCTTTTCTTTTTTCTTCTTTTGCCTCATATGATGTTCTGTCAAATAGCATTAGTAGTCCAAATCCAAATTAGTCCACTATTTTTTCTTCAATGTTTCAAATCCTCAGTTCAAAAACCAGTTTCAATAGAATTTAATTATTAGCATTTTAATTCATCTGAAAAATCTTCAAGAAGGGGATGAAACTCACCCAGTAGTTCAAGATATCCAAATCACCTTCTAAGATAAAGTCAAGGTCAGGCCACTTTCCAGGCTCTGTTTACTTTCTTCTGTTATGTACATTAAACATTCGTCACTTTCACTGAAAGTTCTCATGCTGTAGTGCTCCTCTTCTTCCAGTAGATGGCTCTCCTTCCAAGTTCCAGTATTAAACAGTATGTCAAAAAAAGCTGATTTTCCATAAATCCAGGGGGTTTAAGAATACAAATAAAAAAGAGTTTCTCCCAAAAAATCACCTTTCAAACTGTTTTGCTTTTTTCAAGGCTTTCTATATTTTAAAGCTTCCTTTGGACATCCTTTTGCCTCTTAATTTTCAATCTTTAATCTTCTCCATGTGTCTAATTGTCACTTCCTTAGCGCCTGGAGGTTATTTTTTAAAATTCTTATATTTAAATCCAGTCTTTAAAGTAAAAGTTGGAAATTATCTCATCCAGTTTCAATGCTCTGTCCATGCACCACTGCAGCAGAAATCTTTTGGCTCCGGTTGTCCCAGCTTGTAACTGCCAAAAATGGCTGTCGGCCCTGCTGCCACTCAGGAGATCTTGCTTCTGACCTAATGAGGAAATTGCGAGTTTCCTGTGGTCCATGAAGCACCTCTCCTTTCTTTGCCCTACAAGAAGGCTTTGACCCCAGAGGGTCTCCTGACAGCAGTTGCCAGCTGGATTTCACAGGACTTGGTGGAGCCTGCTAATTTCCAAGCCGTTCTCAATGCTACTTCAAACAGAAGTTTCAGCCATTATCAAGTTTTGGTGTTAGCTGTTTGCTTGGTTTTTTTTTTAATGTACTGGACATATAATACTTTGCCTTGCCATGTCTCTTTGGTATCCTTCATTTGATCTTTCTTGTAAGCCAGTTTGGTCTCTCCAGTACTTAGTAGGCCTTCATTTTTATTATTATTTCTGTCTTGCATCCTAGAAATGTGTATGGAGCTTGATAGACTTTCCTTTGTATTAATAATGGCAATAAATTTGCATCTTTTAAAAAGAAAAACATACTCCTTGAAACTATCAACGATAAGGATCCTTGACCCTACAATGTATTCCAGGAAGGGTACAGTATTTAGAATGTGCATTCCCTAAGAAAGTACTCTCTATATGGTTATATCTGAAATTGCAACAACAACAAAAATAGACATGGCATGGCCTTTGGAGGAAAAATCAGCTGCACAAACAAACAAACAAAAAAAAATCCTGGGCTCCTATCCTATTCTATCCAAAATCCTGGGCGCCTTCTAATCACAACCTTTATCCAACCTGTTATTATTTTAATGCTTTGCCCATAATATCAAGAAAATAATTAAGTGGCACAGAACCCTAAAATCCATAATCTTGCTAATCATCAACCAGAATAACATCTTGTAATCCATTTCCTCATTTTGGGGGGTTGGAGACATGTGAATTATGAAAATGTGAAGTGACAAAGATGCTTCAAGTCTGCCATGTCCATTAGTTGTTCTGTACAGAAATCAAACATCTTTTAGGTTTACACAATAGATAGAAAAATACTTGTTTCAGTTAAAGAGGCATTAAGAAGGCTATACCTTGCCTGTTTTAGATCCAAATGCTGCCCACCACCAGTACACATGTATCTATATAAAAGTAAGTTATACAAGCTTAATGAACTTACTTCTTGTTGAAGGAATATTTAGCAACTGCAGATACTTAATTTTATTTCATTTTTTTCTTCAGGCCAGGATCCTTTTTTCTTTGTTCTGGTGACAATATTTTCTTTTATGATGATCTCTGTTCAGCATGCCAATCAAAGACAGAATGTAGGCCTGACTTTAAAAAAGGCATTTCAAAAGGACCACAGAGTCCTAGACCATTTATTGCACTGTAGCAAAGAACATACATCCATTGGCCTCTTTTCGTTATATTCAGCAAAATCCCAGGGATATTGATAAGCCCACTAGCAAACATGGCTCTGCTGCATAATTCTTTTACCTGAAGAGTAAAATTTAAGTCCTGAAAATGACATTCAAAATCTTCCAGCTTTGTAAACTGAGATGCCGCCACTGATTCGCCATAAATAAAAGAACTAGGGGACACTGTTCTGAAGAAAGAAAAGACAGAACATGTAAGAATGTGACCATGACATCATTTTATTTAATTGCATAAATTAGTTCCTTCTCCTAATAGTTTTTTGAAACTTGATATCTTTTTCCTAAGTACTGTTGTCACATAACAGAGAAAAATATACAGGCAGAGTTACGGAAAATTAAACAGACAGGCCTATAGCATGACCTCCTTTTGATGGGTACTATCCCAGAACATTTGACCTAAACCTTGGTCTAGTGGATCTGAACCAAAATATCTAACTCAACCTAAGAAATCATCTTAGTCTGTAATTTTCTATGAGAAGGACAGCAATCAGTGCTAATATTACTGTGTGAGAAATTATTAGAAAAAAAGAGATATATCCCTAGCCTTGTTTATAAACAAAAGAAAAATAAATGATCACTTTTGTACCCAGTGATGGATGAATCCACCTCATGCATCAGGGGAACTGTCAACATGACAGAATTGTCCTGAAGATTGTGTTCCATGTTCCCACTGCAGGAAACAAGAGAATCAAGGATATTATATACTGTAATATCTTTTCATCCAGGAGCTCATTATTCATACCATTCCCTTCTATTCCCCCACCCAAACAACTCTGTGAGTTAAACTGGACTGGAAGAGATTAACTATCCCAAGTCACTTAGTGAGCTTTTACGGTTAAGGGTGAACTATAATTTAACTCTTCCTGGTGCTTCACCAGCACCTTAACTACTACAGTGCACCGGCCTTCATATCAACCAGGATGGGGAATCCTTAAGAGACCATTGGCTGGACCAATTAGATTAAGTACTCTCTCCCCATTCCAAATGGACTGATGCATTATAGAGAAATCTCATTAAGTTTTATAGAAGAACCAAAATCTTGCTAAGATATACAAATTTAAACATTCTAGTGTAGGCCCTCACAAGGTTTTACAATTTCATGAGATTTTGTAAATTTTTATTTTTATTTAATTAGACGTGCAGAAGACTTTTTGGGGGCAGAACTGATCCTTGCTATATATCTAAATTTTGGGGTCTTCTACATATCTTTAATATTAGCACTTGCCATTGTCAAATATATTCAACTATATTCCCATTCCCATTACTTGAAATATATTCCCATTGCTTGGCAATGGAATGTGAACTGAACTTCCAGTGACAATCCTAAACAGATCAGTATGGAAATAACTTGTCTTTTATAAATCAAAGCTGGTATTTTACATTGTGGTCAGCAACAAACTACAGTTAGTCAAGGTGTTTCCAGTCTAGCGTAATTCAGCTTCTCAAACTTATTGCTGGTAATAGCCATGATACCACATTTTGTACTCCTTTCTCATTTCAGTCCTCATTATCCCTGGATAGGATGATAAATCCCCTACCTAATCCTCAGTAAACCATTGCTAGTCAGCCCAGTCCAGATTTCTTCAGTTAGCCAGCTTGTCCAAAGACTAAGAAGTTAGAGGGATTGCAGTTGAATACAGCTGTCCAGAGTCACCTGATAGTGACATAGGTGGCATATAAATTAAAAATAATTGGAATAAATAGATTTGGGAATACTAAACTGGAGATTAGTATGCAAAGGTAGTTGAATCAATGCTCTGATGAGTCTCTGCAGTTTGAAGTTAACACAGATTCATCTTAAAGTAGAGGTCTAACAGTACATATACTGATTATATGTTTAAGAGAATCTTTGATTTATAGATGTTGCCATTCATTTTTATTGGTTTTAATAACTTGTTTTATACTTCATCTTCTTCAAACACCCAGGTCTCTGGAAAAGGCTCTAATGCTGGGAAGAGTGGAAGGAAAGAGACAGAGATAGAAGTGCAACAGCAGGGGGCAATGGGTGCATGATTGAAAGAATTGATAAGTGAAGTTAGGGATATAGCATTATGGAGAAAATCTATACAATAACTTGTGGGTATATAACCAATTAATCATTTTATGAATTTATATCTGATAGGAAGTTCTTTATCCTTTGTTCATTTTTAGTTGTACTCTTGATATTTTATTACTGAAATCGTAACTTAAAAATCTCTTGAGTGTGACAAAAAATCTAATACACACACTTACATAACTTGAATGTGTAAGGTCAAGAATTTGACAGAATTTACTATTCCTATAGTAAGAAACTATATGAATATAGAATAGAATTCTTTATAGAATACTTTATTGGCCAAGTGTGATTGGACACACAAGGAATTTGTCTTCCTTATATATTCATGATATATTCAGAGTCTTAACTATCATCCTTGTATTTTGCTTCATGCAATATGAGAGGGTTAGGGTTAGTGCCCTAATGGGAGGCTAGTGCCCAAACTCAGCAGGCAAATATTTATTTATAGAAATACTGAGGTAAATAACTCATCAGGTTGCCTAACCACCAGTATCTGCAAATGAAAACTGTTCTATATAGCAGCCTAGCTTTTTATTTTAAATATAGAGACATGTGGATTTTATACTAGGTAAAAATAGAGGAAATACAAAACTTTCCCCTTTTATGCAACTACTTTCAATATAATAAAGAAACAAAACAGTAGCCTTTGATTTAAAAATAAGGAATCCAAGATCAAAAGTTCACCAAGCTGAGCAATGATCATTCCTATGAGATTCTCATCATTTCCTATGTCTACTTGCAAATAGGACTACTATTTTATGACTTAAAGTAATAAGACACGTGCACTATGTATTATGGTTTTCAACACACTCCATGCCACCCATTATGAAGCCTCTATAGTAAATGGAGAGAGTTGGTTCAAGTTCTCTCTTCTCTCAAGACCAGACTTATCCATACTGCAAAGAATCCACTCCCGTGAACTCCACGCAGAACTCATAAACTATCTAGACAATGGAGAAAAGGACCTACACATTGACTACAGAGCTGATTGCATCCATAGAAAGTCACACAACCCACAACTCCGCATCCAACCCCTCCCCATCCAATCCAACTTCACTCAAAACTAGGCACGCACACCCCTAACTACCTCTATTCCAACTACAACTAGCCTTAAATGCAAGCTACTCAATGCAAGAAGCCTTGTAAATAAAATACCTGAATTTCTCCTCTTACTAAATACAGCTAAATTCGACATTATATTTGTCTGTGAAACATGGCTCAACACATCTCTCCCTGACTCCATTACCACAGTAATAGACTATCATGTTTACCGATCAGATCATGAAATCCGTAGAGGAGGTGGTGTTGCTATCTTCTATAAAAAGTCCCTACATCTAAAAAACATCCAAGTTACCCAGGAGCTTGCTATTCCTGAGACCATCATCTGTGAACTGTCCTTAAATATCACATTTTGGTTCTTCTATGTTACAGAGCCTCTGATTATGACATTGAACATGCAAACAAGCTAAATATACTACTAACATGGGCAGCATCCTGCTCACACGCTTTTATCTTTCTTGGTGACTTCAATCTACCTCATATTAACTGGACCCTTAACGAATGTACAACTGAACCCACACATGCAACCTTCTACAATGCAGTAACAAATCTGAGACTAGAACAATTAGTAACCAACAACACTAGACTTAACAACTGCCTCGATCTCATCTTCTGCAATAGTTTGAATTCAATTTATGGAATACAAATTAAAGAACCCTTTTCCAACAGTGACCACAACATGATTCACTTTTGTCTCAACATACATCCACACAAAAATCATCACAACGATGGAATTATAACTTCAAAAAAGGCAACTATGATCTTATAAACAACGATCTCTCATCCCTTGATTGGCAATTTCTATTCTCTGGATGCAATACTGTAGAAGACCATTACAACATATTTTTACTTGAAGTCAAAAAAGTCATCAAATTATATGTACCATTAACAACTCCCCAAACCAGAAAAAAACAAATTACCCATAACAATAAGGAAGCTTCAATCCAAAAAGAGATTACTTTGGCGGAAAAACAAATCTGCTCACGTTGCCAACTTCAAAAGCCGATACAAAAATTTATGCCACCAGATAAAGACTGAATGCACCAATAATCACATTAAACAAAAAAAAAAACCTTCGCACCAATTCCACCCGTGCTTTCTACAATTTTGTAAACAACAAACTAAAAGACTCAAGGTCCATCCCACCCCTGAAAGGACCTAATGGTAAAGACTGCAACGACAACACCATTAAAGCCAACCTCTTTAACACATTCTTTGGCTCAGTATTTGTAAATAGCAATGGATCATGCCCAGTATTTCCTAGATGAACCACAGACAACTACAATGATCTAATACATATCGATTTTACAGAAGACAATGTTGAAAAAGCACTACGCAATCTAAAACCATCTCTATCAATTGGACCGGATGGAATATGTGCCTACTTCTTAAAAAAGCTATCCACTGCCATAGCCAAACCTCTAAACATAATCTTTGAAAAATCTTTCAGGACCAGCTCCTTGCCAAAACTATGGTCTCAAGCCACGGTCATCCCCATCTCCAAAAAGGGAGACCCCAGCCTAGTTGAAAATTACAGACCAATCTCTTTATACTGCATCACCTGTAAAGTCATGGAATCAATTATTAACCAATCCATCATCCTCCACTTAGAAACAAATAACTTACTCTCTAATAAACAATTTGGTTTCAGGAAAAAACTATCCTGTAATCCAGGGGTCCCCAACCGCCGGTCCGCGGACCAGTACCGGTCCGCGGAACAAGTCTTACTGGGCCGCTGGTTGCTGGGCGCCGCCATCTTTTTTGACGAAAAAGTGCTTCCGGTGAGGTCACCGGAAGCACTTTTTCGTCAAAAAAAGATGGCGGCGCCCAGTTGATGCCGGTACCGGGCCGCGGTGCCCAGCTGATGCCGGTACCGGGCCGTGGCGTCAAAAAGGTTGGGGATCACTGCTGTAATCTACAACTCTTACATTGCAAAAACATATGGACTACACAACCCGATCAGGGCAAAGCAATAGATGCAATCTACATAGACTTCTGTAAAGCCTTTGATTCAGTGGTACATGATAAACTACTCCTAAAACTAACATCTTACGGTATCTCTGGACACCTGCATAACTGGATAGAAGCATTCCTGTCAAACAGACAACAAATGGTCAAAATTGGGAGCGTCCTATCAAATTCTGTACCTGTCAATAGTGGTGTCCCCCAAGGCAGTGTTCTAGGACCAACTCTCTTCATACACTACAAAAATGACTTCTGTGATCATATCAAGAGCAACTGCGTTCTCTTCGCTGATGATGTAAAGCTATTCAACACCACAGACAATACTGCTACCCTTCAAAAAGACCTTGACTATGTATCAGAATGGTCAAACAAATGGCAAATCTCAACAAATAAATGCTCTGTCCTACATATTGGCAAAAAAAATCAGAAAATAAAATATAGGCTGAATAGTCAAGACCTTGTTGATGATCCAAACTCTGTCAAGGATCTTGGAGTACTCATCTCTAATGACCTAAGTGCTAGAGCCCACTGTAACTACATAGCCAAAAAGGCGTTAAGAGTTGTTAACCTAATCAAAGTAGTTTTTTCTC